GTATGCAGGAGGAAAAGCATGGCAAAGTTGAGATGACTTGGATGGGAATCTAATCACAATAGTGTGCATTGCATTGGCAGTGCACACTGATAAAAAGACTTTAATAAAGCAAAAGGCCAACGTGGTGGCAAGATAACAAAACAAATATAGGCTTGGAACAAGAGGTGTAAACAAACATGAGTAAAGCAATGGTTGGACACTGAAGCGGTGAAGAGAAGCTGGTTAAATACAAACAGGGCTGAGTGGAAGTTGGAAGCAGCTGGGTGATTATAATTGAGGACAGGTGTGAAACTGACTGGAAAGAACCAGAAAAGACTGAGGAACAGGATGGGCATGAAAACGTATAACATGGACACCAGAGGGAATCATACAGTAGCACAAGACAAAACAAACATACAAGCCAATAAATCATGACAACTGCAGGCTTAGTGAGACAAATTTAATTTAGTTTGGAAGTCTTGTCAATGCAGATTGGCTTCATTCACTTGCTCCAATGCCATTGCTTCTACCCACTACCCACTGCAAAAAATACATATTTTGATTTCTGTAAATCATATCAACTTCATTTCACTTCTCAAATATCACTGTATGTCCCCTACATGATATATTTTATTGATTTTTTTAAATCCAAAAATATCAATGATTTATAAAGGTAAATCAGGAAAATTAACAAGGCTGCCCAAACTTTCGCACCCCACTGTATTAATTGTTGACAGTTTTTCTGTCGATTAATTGTACTWTGCCCAGCCCTACCATGGACAGGTTCCAGTGAGTCTATCACAGGGACATGCAGAGACAAAGAAGACATTCACACTCAAGTCTGGAGACAGGTTAAAGGGGTTAATAAACCCAACATCCATAATTTTAGTCTGTGAGAGGAAACCGGAGCCACACAAGTGAAGACATTTTGTAACTGATTAATTGAATATTTGTATTTTATACTTTCTGATCATTTCAGTCTGTTAGGTTGAAGCTGACAAAGAGTTGGTGTGTTATCATGTGTTCTTTCTCTTAGCCTAAACAAAACTGAGTGACGTTCTGACGTCTGACGTAAAAGGTAACACCTCTGGGGTGTAACCAGGAAGAGATGAACATTATAAGGCCAGTTCATTATTATAGTAGAAGGAAGTTGTCAGTGTTTTGCAGAGGGTCTGCACAGAGCAGAGCTCCCGTGTTTGTTTTGATTTGGCCCAAGGTTGTACGCTGAGGCCTGTGCTGCTGAGAGCTGAATGAACCTGATTAGAGTCAGAAGATCAAAAATAAAGTTTTAAAGAAGAAACCCAGCTGAATCCTGTTTATTAGGACATAACATTTTGAACAACGCATATTTTTCCAACACAAGCACAGGGAGAACATGTAAACTGCTCACAGAAAGGCCCCATCTGGGAATCAAACCAGCCACCTTTCTGTTGTAAGGTGACTGCGTTAACCACGGCTCGACTGTGCTAAACACAGCAGAAACACTTTGAGAGGAGAAAATAAAGTCTGCCTGTCCTCTGCATTCTAGTTCTAATCGTCCCACCAAGCTAACAGAAGACATGAGCTCCCTCCAGTCAGTCCGTCCTGGATCAGCCCACCCTGGACCACCAGGACCCAACAAGACCAGCTTTCCCTTCCATGTGCACCTATCCACAGCCTCAGAGTCCACAGTCTTGGATGACGAGTGCGAGGGCACGCTTAGCTCACAGGAAGCTACAGAGTACCTGGAGCTCAGCCCCAAACCTGAGAGAAGCAGGTACACAAAGTACTACAGTATTGCTGTGTATTTGGTTGCTGTTTACCTGTTAGGTAGTTACATACTGTACTGATTTTGTTCCTTTTGTTTACTTTCACGTTTTCAATCTAACTTTGTTCTGTCTAAGCCGGTCATGGATAAAAACACGAACTCTTTCAGAAGAACTTGAACCTTTTCAAATACTGAACTTTACTAACAAAGATTTACCCCAAAGAAATACAGTCAGATCTGAATTAGTTTATTAAAACAACGGGCCTCATGCAAGAACCGTTCGTACGCACAGATTTGTTCTTAAATTGTGCGTACGAGTGATTTAGGA